ACAGCACCCCCAAGAAACTTGTCCTGCTTCCAGCCTAGCCCCTATCACCATCATCCCAGAAAGTAGCCCCTGTGGATATGCAACGGGCAACTGCTTCTGTGGCCACAGCCAAAGTTACTCAAGACCTAGGAAAGGAAGTTTTTGCCATCAGTGTCCTTGGCACTATCAGGTGGTTCAATATTGGGGGAAAAAAAAAACCTGACATGATTTTATCAGTGGAAATTACATTAAGAAAGATGCATTACCATCTGCTTTGCTGCCACAACCTAAAAACCATGAGATCTTTCCATTTGACTTGCATATTAAACATATATGCTGTTCCCTACCACCACCACCACCATTAGAATTTAAGCTCCTTGTGAGCAGAGACTGTTTTAATATGCTATTTTTATTCCCACCACTTTTTTGTACATAGTAAAAACTAAACAATTGCCCATTCATTCATTCATTCATTCATGCCAGGCATTTTCCAACAGCTTAATGAATCAAAGCATCTTATGTACACCTGCAAACAGGAAGATAATGTATAATGCTGAAGAGAGCTTGTGATATTGACTAGACTCAGATTTTTCCATGGTATCTAGGCATCCAGCTATAAAATATAAGCAGTTACTTGGACAAGGACATGAACTTAAAGCTTCTATCAGTGTCACTTAGAGTAAGCAGACTTTAACAGCTGGACAACATCTTCCACGGCACAGAAATATATACTTTGTGGGAAAAGGGGAGAAAGAGCAAGAGTACTGAAATACGTGCTTTCTTCAAGAAAGAGGAAACAGACAATTTAAAAATAAAAGTAGCTTAGCTGGCTTCTTTAATATATACTTCATGAGGTTGTTGTGAGGCAAATGCTTTGGAAAGCTTACATCAATTGAATTATCATGAGTTATTTTGTTATTTATTTTCCAAACAGCAAACACTAAAGGCTTTCAATTATTTTATGTTGTCCCAAAATCACATTATCAATATTACAGTAGAATCCTATAATAACATGGGATTGTTATTACAAAGATATGTCATATATCCAATTAATGCATACAGGATGAGCGCACCAAAACCCAATTTAAGCAGATGCTAGGCCTATGAAGGAAAGCGGGAGAGAAGGAAGGAAAGGAGGGAGAGAGGAAAGGAGAGAGAAAAAAGAAGAAAAAGAGAGAGGGAGGGAGGAATGAAGGAAGGAAGGGAAGAAGAGAAGAAGGAAGGAAGAAAAGAAGGAAGGAAGGGAGGGAGGGAGGAAGGAAGAATGAATTTCTTATGGGCAAACACTGGGCACACAAATAGAAAAGCAGAGCAAGGACTAGCTCTTGCTCATATTCTAGGGGCTCACATTCTAATAGGAGAGATAACACATATAGAAGGTTTGAGATGCAAATAATATAAAAAGGCTTTGTTGTCCTTGGGGTGCAGCAGTAAGGTATCTGGTAATGCATCTTCTTTAATATCATTTCCATTAATAAAGCCATGTTGGGTTTCTGACATCGAGGCATTTGACAGTACTAAAAATTTTGATTGGTGAGAACTTTGTTTTCCAGATCTTCAAGGGCTGTGGCAGCTGGGGAGTCTCTGGCTGCTGCACATGGCAGAAGTAGCTAGATCCAATTGCTGCAAAGGTTCTTTCCCTGGTTGACCATTGTAGGGAATAGACTGGAAGCAAGGCCAGGGATCTTAGAGGAGAGAGGGGCAGGGAAGCTGCTGCTATTCCCAAGGTTCTTGGGCTTAACCATTCCTTGGCAGCAGTTAGTCATTATGTCAGTGTTTATAAGTGGTTTTCCTGTGTTAATTACTTCTGTTTCTTCATAATTTGACAAGCACTGGCTATTCCCACTCCCCATCCCCACCCAAAAAAACCCAAAAACCCAAACAACTTATTATTTTTTACCAGATGAGCAGCAGTAGCTTGGAAATCACAAAATTAGAGAATTTTAGAATTGGATAGGATCTTAGCAGTCCTCCAGTTCACTATCTACCCAAACAAAATATGGAGGACATTTTAAGCTATTCTCATCCTGAATATCTACATTACATTATTACTCTACTTTGCCCTTTCCTTCTTTCTTGGGAAGTCAATTACTATAATTGTCTCTTCTGGAAAAAAGATATCTAATTCAACCAAGGAAACTGCCTCTGGTGCCCTGTTGGAAAGGATTCCTAGTCCTGGTTTGTTGTTGGGAGTGGGGGGAGGTGAGCAGTCACTCCACATGGATCCCCCCAATTCTCAAAGTATTCTAAAAATTCACTTTGTTTTTTTAAAAACTCCTATTCTCCCCCCCTCACTTTTTTTTTATTTTGGTTGTTGTTCAGTCTCTTCAGACTCTTTGTAACCCCAATTTGGGTTTTTTTGGGACAAGGATACTGGAGTGGTTTGCCATTTCCTTCTCCAATTCATCTTACAGATGAAGAGACCGAGTCAAACAGAGTTAAATGACTAGCCCAGGGTGAGTTTGTAAATGTCTGAGGCTGGGTTTGAACTCATGAAAATGAGTCTTTCTGATTCCAAGAGAGTCTGAAGCAACTCAACAACAAACAACAAAGGAATTTTCCATTCAATTCAGCCATGCTTTATTAAGCATGATCTCTATGCTAGGGAAAGTGGGAAATAGAAGTAAGTGTAAAGCACTGTCCCTGCCTTGGAGGAGTTTGCAATCTAGTTGGGTAAATAATTTAATATACATGAAACCATTAGATAATAAAATGATATATGAATAAATGCGAAATTTCCCCCATAGAGTTAGATAAGCTGTTATAATAAAATATGTGGCATAGTGGAATAAGCACTGAACTTGGAGCAGGAGATCTGGGAGCTAAACCTGGCTAGAAGGATCCTTGAGTATAATTTAATCTAAACACTCTCACTTTATACACATGAAAATAGAAGCCCAAAGGAATGAAATAATATTTGGGTACTTGCTCAAGATCACAATTAGTGGCTGAGCACTTCAGGTTCCTGGGTGTCATTTTTTTCATACATAAAATGTTGATAGGTGGGTGTTTAGATGATTTTGAATGTCCTTTCCATCTCTGATTCCCTATGAAGATAAAGGCATCGTCTTATAATTTGGTCTGGAAGCTATTCCTGACGTAATACAGAAGATTTGTTTTTCTGCCCTGGGATAAAACTAAAATTGTGCCTTGGTCTTATATCTTATTCACCTCCTCTATATTGAAAGAAAAGGTCTGATTATTTTTCCTTTTTATTGATACAATCCCCAATGTGCTTTCAATAATATCTCTCATAATGTACCACTGCCCAAAACATTCTAAATGAGGGATCATGAGAGAGAATAATACAGCACTACACCTTAGCTATTTATTGTTTGTTAAAAGGAAGAGTGCCCACTTTCTAAATTATTGTCAATGTCATCTGATGTTTTTGTGGGTTTTTTTTTAAATTTAGCTGAGCTTTGTTTCTGTTTAAAGTAGTCTTCATTTATCTAGCAGTAGTGTCTGGGTATGGTTCAGCTTTCTTCAGTGTTTATCGCTTCAGATATGTTTTCCCTTATTTCTTTGAATTTTTCTTGTTCATAGATCTCTCTAATCCTGAATTTCTAAACCTGATTGCTTAGAGATAACTAACTACTCTCCAATGATAGGAAGTCTGCTACAAACAAGCAAGAAGGAGATGTGCAGGCACAAGGTTAAAGATGCTTCCTTACCAAATGTCACACTGATTTTGACAAACCATTGTTCGATTTTAACTTCCCAGTTGGGTTTTGCTGTTCTGAATCACCCCAAATCATCCATAGTAGTTATTTTGCTGTTGTTAGTATTGTTGTTGTTTGCTTATTTATTTGTGCTTCTGAGTGTGTGTGTGTGTGTGTGTGTGTGTGTGTGTGTGTGTATGGAAGTGTTGTGGTAACCTCTTTCCATTTTCATTGAAAAGTGGGGATGGGAGGTGGTGGGCATTTAGCAGTGAGCTTAATCAAGACTGCAGGTGAGAAAACATTAACCAGAACAGCTTTGCATGACTAACTCCTGCAAGAATGTCACAGACACACCAGTTTAAAAAAAAATTTTCCTGGCATAGAAATTGGCATTGAGGTTATTGATTGAGTTGGCCCTGTGGGGGTTCTCTCATACTCATCCATAGAAGAGGCAAGGTCATAATTCACAGCAAGAGGACTATCAGTGAAACATCAAGAAAAACGTTCCTCAGGGTTCTGGGGTACTAAGACATAGATTCTTCTACTTTAGGGACTTTTCTGAATAGAAAGTAATCTTCATTCTGGAAATGATTTGGATTTCAGTGCTATCCAGAATTAGGGGGATAGGTCTCCAAGCTGGGAGCCAGAGAATGGAGAACTATTGGTTAGATTTCACTGGCATTGATTAATCACTTCGGCTAACAAAATCCACACAATAAAGCAGATAATCTCATCTCTGAAAGAAGAAACAAGCATCCATCCACTTTACCCTGGGCTTTCTCATCCTTCCTTGCTGCTTCTTGGACCAGATTTGTAGAGGCTGAATGTTGCCCTGAAGGTTCATTAGGGTGCAAGTCAATCTGACAGAAGGATTTAGCAAAAAATGAGGGGAGGCAGAGAGAAGCAAAGAGAAGGGGAGAGATAGAGAAACAGGAAAAAGGGAGAGATAAGAGAAGGGAGAGAATTAAGAAGGAGGGGGTAAAGCAGAGGAAGAAGAGGTGGAGAGAAAGGACAAAGGGGAGAAAAAAAGGGAGAAATGGAGGAGTGAATAGGGGCATGTAGTCTTGTAGCCCGTCAAACTGCACTCGTTTCAAACTACTAAACCCTAGAAAGCTTTTCTTTTCGTCCATATTCAAAACTACTCTGGGTGCTAAAAGTTTCCCAAATCAGTTTCCCAACTTTACCAGCCCGGTGCTTCCTGTCCAGTCTGCAGGGCTGAAATTTGCCGAGCAGAAGTTTGGATGGATTAACTAACTACGAAGTCTCCACAGACCTCATCTTAAGGTGTGTGTCTGGGCGGGGGCGCGGTGGTGGGGTGGGGTGTCATCTTTGACTGAGGAAAGAGAAGAAGATACTCACGGTTAGCGCAGCCCACGAGAAGACAATCACCCACAGGCTGCCGGTCTGCATGGTGGTGACCACAGACTTTCACACGCAGCCAGTCTCATCCCCGGGAGGAGGTCACGGACAACTGCTACCTCACCCCAGCTGTTCACATGAGTTCACTTTTTCCCCACCTTGCTCCCCGGCTGAGAGAGGACGATTCTGTCCTAGGCGGCATGCCTGGGCTACCAGCATCCCCAGGCGGCTCCCAGCTGCTGCGCTGGGACTCTGGACTCCGCGGCTGCGCGGGCTCCAGCGGCCGCTGTTCAGTTACTCCTTTTGGCCCACTGATAAGGAACGCAGCCAAGAGACGTCAGAGGCCAGTCACTGCAGCGGGCTCAACCTATCAACAAGTAATGACTGCCGAGAGCCTCGGAGGGTGGGAGCGCGGAGGGCGAAATGATGGGGCCCTTTTCCTGCAGCACAATCAATCTCCCAAGGGAATGGAGCTGTTGGTGGCACAAGCTGTTTCAGCCTATATTCCTCCAAGCCTTGAAGGAGATACAGTGCATAAGATTTAGAGTCAGAAGAGATCCTGGAGCTCCATCTAGCCTGAAACCTTTTATTGTACAGGAGGGTAAATTGCGATCCGCGGAAGCGAAGTGACTTCACAGAGGTAATAAGTAGCAGAACTGGGATTTGAATCCAGTGCTTTTTTTCCATTACAGTATATGCGGCCTCTTATGAGACCCTCCTTTCTCCTTTCCTCTTCCCCCAATTGCATGTCCAGAAAAATTACTGATATCTGAAAAGGGAGACCCTAGAACTGAGCAGCCACTTCCAGATATGTCTGTATCTGTTCCTCCTCTTGTTATTTTTAGGCAAATCGCCTCATTGTCTGTACCTCAGTTTCTTTATGTGTCACTCACAGGGATAACTGCTCCCTTCCTACCTCTCAGGGTAAGGAGAGAAAAAGAAAAGAAACAGAGAGAAGAGGAAAAAAGAATAGAAAGAAGAGAGAGGAGAGGAAGAGGAAGAGGGACAGGAATTCATTGAAACATGGAATGTCAGAGCAGGAAAGGATCACAGAAATTATTTTATTCAACCCCTTCATTTTACAAATAAGGAAACTGAGGATGAATGACTTGCTCAAGTCTTCTAACTTCAAGTACCTTAAGAGATGGGGCGGGGATGGTGGTGGAGGTAGCATTGAAGGGGAAAAAGAGACATAAGACAGGGCTAAAGACCTTGGAAAGAGGAGAGAGACAAAGGAAAGGAAAAGTGGGAGGAGAAAAAGGGAAGGCAGGGGTGAAAGGGAGACAGAAGAAAGAGGAAAGTTTGAAGGAAGGGAGCAGAACCTAGCAGATTCAGTGAGGAATAAAAATGTGTCTGTGAAGCATATTTTAGGAGATAAATTGTCCAGACAGGAAATGAAAATCCAGGATATAGGGTCGTATTTCCCAAGTCCAATCTGTATTGCGAACCCATGGGTACAGCTTTCTTTTTCAAAGCAAACCAAAGAAAAATTATTTCAATAACTTCATTTCATTCATTCTCACAATCTTAGGAAGTCCTGGGACACACAGGAAACCAAGAAACACTGTATAGTTAATCAAACCAGAAATCAGAGCCCTGGATTATTCTGCCAACTATGAACAGTGTTGAGTCTCTGGGCCTTTGTTTCTTCATTTAATTCAATTTAACAAGGATATATCAAGTACCTACTGTGTGTATAGGACTTTGCCAATTGTTAAGGAAGATACAAAATCTAGATGAGACACCATTCCTGGCACAATCTAATAAATTTGCAAAATGAGGGGGTGAAGCTGAGCTGAACTGATTTGGAGTGGAGTGTACAGGGTGGGGTTTGTAACTGGGAGTCAGTTGAGCATAAACCTTTCAGTCAAATGCTAAACAGATTAAATTAACTTTATCTTCAGGTGCCAAATAAATCAAACAAAAGACTGTTAGCTTTATTAACAAGAAGCTAATGTATTATTGATGAGCCATAAATAATGGGAAGAATGTGACTTTCTATTCCACAAAGGTGTAAAGTGTGACAAATTAATGAGTTCTTTATGGCCGGGGGAGATATGCCACTCCAAAAATCCAGACTAGCCTTCTCCGGGAAACACAACTTTCCCCTTTAGTCTCTTGTTTTCCTTCTCATGTTTGTCTGAATTTTTTCAATATTCATGAGAAATAATTTTACTAAAATCAAGTTTGTCATACAGTCAAAAGAGAAGAGCAAACAAAATGTCTAGGGTTTTAAGAGAAAAGGCAGATTGCTGATGAGATAAAGTAAATTACATTCACGAGCTTGAAGCAAAAGTCAATCCCTTCATGTTTTATACCAGATTTCCCTCATGTTTCTGATCTAAATGACAATATACTTGTTCCTACTGCCAAAATATTTCCATATATTAGGAATGTTCTCCTACTTCTCTGTGAATGTTCTATATATTAAGGCAGCTAGGTGGTACAATGGATACAGTACTGGACTGGGAAAACCTGTGTTCAAATGTGACCTCAGACACTAGCTGTGTGACCCTGGGCAAGTCACTTAACCTTTATCTGCCTCAGTTTCCTCAACTGTAAAATGAGCTGGAGAAGGAAATGGCAAACCACTCCAGCATCTTTGCCAAGAAAACCCCAAATGGGGTCATGAAGGGTTGGGCATGACTGGAAAGACTGCACAACAACAAAACTATGTATCAAGCATTCTGCTAAATACCAAGGATACAAGGAATGCCTAAGACACCCTGCCCATAGTCTAATGGTGATGGACTGGTCACTGTATGGGCTGTTTTTGTTTAACTGTGTATCTTTGTTTCAAGGGAGAGTTCACCTGGAGAAGGAGAGGTATATTAAGAAATGAGTGATATAGTAACAAAAGACATCAGTAAAAGTTATTTTTTTAAGAATGTAAATTTCTGGGGCAGCTAAGTGGCACAGTGTGGATAGAGCACTGGCCCTGGATTCAGGAGGACTTGAGTTCAAATCCGACCTCAGACACATAACACTTACTAGCTGTGTGACCCTGGGCAAGTCACTTAACCCTATTGCCTAGCCAAAATAAAAAATATATATATATAAATTCCTTGAGGGTAGGGAATGTCTTTCATCTTTGTGTCCACTGTACCTAGCAAAGTGCTGTTGTACATAATAAGGGATTAATAAATTATTGTTGAATGAAGTAAATTAAAGAATATATGTTTGAAACTTATACACTCATAGAACCAAAGAATATCAGAATTGGAAGGGCCTCAGAGACCATCTTGTTCAATGTTCACTAATTTCCAGTCCATCTATATTTTTACTAATCCACAAACTTTTTCTACCAAAGTTCTTACTTCTTACAACCTATAAACTAAAAAACTTAAAAATCTGGCTCTTTTTCTTCTTCATCATTTGTCCTGCTCTTCTTGCCCCTGGATTCTTTTTTCCCTTCCTCCAGGTCCCAGCTTTCCAAACCTGGAGCTTTTGCTCCACTTGAATTGTAGAGGGAAGAGAAAATGTAGATATTTTACCAGTATGCAGTATATAGTTTCATTGGGAAACACTGACCCAGGACAACTCTCTGTATGATGCATGAATCTTTTCTATAACATATCCAACAAAGAGTTATTTTCCTCTGCTTGGGGCCATCCACTAGAATCTTATGACTGGAGGAGAGAGTGAGGCTGATGACTTTGCACAGCCTCACTTACAGCCAATTCATGAGCAAGTCAAGATATCACCCTCATGATGTCATTGGTCCTCTTCCAGAATGAAGGATGAACAACAATAACAATTTTCCTCTTCCTGAACACCTCCAGTGAAAGGGAATTCATTACCTCTACAGGTAGCCTGTTCCATTTTAGGACTCTAATGGACTCTAACTCCATTTTAGCTCTAATGTTTAGGCAGTTCTTTCTCATATTAAGCTGAAATCTGTAACTAATTCTATAACTTCTAAAAAAAAATTCTACAATCCCTTTCAGTATCCCATTCCAGTACAAACTAACAACCTGACTACAGGCATATCAAATATTAATCATTATTGTTGAGAGAACTGTTATTCTTTAAGAATAATTTCAACTTTGTCTCTCTGAGACTGCCTCTATTCCATTACAAAGCAGACTTTAAGGATACTGGTCTAGATTTCTCCAGAGGAGGTATGAAATTAGGACAAATTACACTGTGTGACCCTCCCTAAACCAATTTTTTGCTGGTAAAATAAAATAAGAATAAGATGAAAATCAATGGCAACTCTGAAGGGAAACAATAGTCACCCAACCAACAAGCATTTATCCAAAACTTAATATGTTGCAGGTACTCTGTTACTGGGTATATTGATAATAAATGTAGCAATCCCTGTCCTCAAGAAGATGGTATTCTAGGGGCAGCTAGATAGCGCAGTGGATAGAGCACCAGCCCTGGAGTCAAGAGGACCTGAGTTCCAACCGGGCCTAAGACACATAATACTCAATAGCTGTGTGACTTAAGTCACTTAACCCCAACTGCCTCACAAAAAACAAACAAACAAAATGAAAAAAAAAAAAAGAAGATGGTATTCTAATAGAAGGATAATAAGGATATACCTATATACAAATATAAGTATATACAGAATAAATATAAAGAGAACAATTAAATACAAGGAACTTTGAGGGGGGGCACTTATTTTTGAGAAGATCAGAAAAATTTCTGTAGAAGATGTTGCTTGAGCTATGTCTAAAAATAAGAGGGAGTGGAGATGAGGAGGGAGGGAAATCCTGGTATGGAGACAGCCAATGCAAATGAGCACAGACAGGAGATGGAGTGTCATATAAAGAACAGCAATCTAGCCAATTTGGCTGGATCAGAGTGTGTACAATGAGGCTGGAAATGAAGGTTGTGGGGAAGTTACAAAGGGCTTTGAAAGCAAGGAGGCCATTGAAGGTGATCTCTGTTACAGCAGTGACGTGGTTAGATTTGTGATTAAGGAGAATCACTTTGGCCACAGTAAGTAAAATGGAATGAAATATTCTTGCTGCATAATATTATGTTCACCTGTCTCTGGAGGTTCAGCTAGCTTTGCATAGGTTGAACTTCAAGGAAAGGCTCTGATCCCTTGAGGGCCATAGACAAAAGTTTTATTTTTTTCTGGGAGACTGGGGCAACACCCAGTTGTTCCTTTCAAACACTTTGGTTTACCCATTTGTTGACACAATTCAACTGGCTCTAGTACATTATCTTTGTTAGGGCAATGCAGGTGAGCTAGCTGACTGAACTCTTGATGGTAGGCCAAAAAGAAAAAAAACAAAAAAAAAACTCAACAGTAACGTAGGAGAGACAGGTGCTATGA